ATTATTTACATAGGCAATAGAATTGAAATTAGGTAAGTTAGAGTAATACTTAGCAATTATATCGTGTTTTAGTGAATAGTTAAATAATTTTTTTCATAGAAAAAAAAACATTTTCACGAAGAGAATAAAAGAACATAATAATTGTCAAGCATTATTTAAAATTCCTTACTCACTGTTAGAAGTTCTAATATGGCCTTTGTTTCTTGATGTTTACTATCAGTTTTTTCTTTAAATTTCTTTAAGAAAACAATATAAAATCACTGAATGAACTTAAATAAATCACTATTTTCACAGGTATAACACTTTTTACACATTATAAATGAAGTTTACAACTTGATATCTCCCATACCGTACCAGAGTGAAACTAATTCGAAATAGAGAAACAGTTCTGTTAGAGAAGCTAGTGTACAGAGAATACTGACATCTGATTGGTTGAGAGCAGATCTGTTACCGCCAAATCTAAAACAGTGATTGAAAAAACCGCTAATATTCAATTTTATTCCACTCAATTGCAGCAGCCGTTTCGTTCTGTTCCACAGGTATAATTTTAACAACTATATTATTTATTGTGGTTTTTAATGAATACAACCGTGTAACACGGATTACTGCTTGCATTTATTATTTTTTTAAATATTTATATTGGAAATAAAATAAGATATCAAAGTATATTTCAATATTTAAGCTAGATATAATGATCATTGGTTTATATATTTCTAAATAAATATGATTTAACCACCTTATTTATAATATGTTGATATTTGTTTTTTTAAATTTATTTTTACAATAAAATTATCTTTTTAGAAATTGATGAAATACACAGTAACTAACAAAAGATTCAATATGTATGTTAAATATGGGAATAAACAAAAGTTATTTAAGTTCAATGAAAATCATTATAAAAAGGTATTAGTAAAGTATTAGTTAAGAGACTAAATTGAAAAATGAATTAATACTGCATTTTGAAAGCAATATATATATACTCGAAACTCAAAATATGCATTAAAAAAAAAGATTTATTGTTTGTTAAATATTTAATTTTATTATTCATTAAATTTAAATTTGAATTATTTATATATATTTTAATTTAACTTAGAAACTTAAACAAATATGTAAAACAAATATTATATTTTTAAACTAAAACTAACACTGTTGATACAGATTTAAATAATACCGAATCGAGAGAGAAGTGAACAGCGCAGAGACCAGTGGCCAACTAGATGATATTAAAACAGAAAGAATTCAGTGAACCATACGACAGAAGGTAAATAGTCTATAATTTAATTAGGAGTATGGTGGGAGACAGGATATTGGTATTGAAAACAACATTATTAGATCTGTCTTCACTTTTAGAATAATTTGCACAATTATTTGAATCCTTATTTTATCTAATGCATAGCTTTTTTTATATTACTATTAGTAGGAATTCGTTTTTAAAAGAAATTATTCTCAATTTAATTTAAATAATTTTTAAATTAAATTATTACACCGGACGTTTTCTTATTTTCTATAGAAATAAATATATGTTACTAATTTTAGAAATTACCATTCCTACGTATATGCCCGCTGGTGAAAAAATGTTAGAGACCCCTGGTCTAAACCAAGACCAAGACCGTCTAATTGTTGCAAGACCAAAACAAAGACTGGTAAAAAAAAGAAAAACGTTTTTGTGAATAAAAATTAAGGCAAAATAGTAACTGATACTAGACAATTTTATTTACTATATTTAAAGAATTGGTAGAACCAAGATACTTTTGCATTTAACTCTTCCAACTTTTCATTCGAGTTTTAGATAGGTTTCCCCATTCTGAAAAAATGGCACTAATATCTATATAGTATGTAGCGGTAACAATTTTTTTTTAAATGTTATTAAATTTAAGATAAGACTATTACAAAAGTCGTCTAAATCGGATCAATTTTAGAATTTTATGAACTGATATTAATAACTTTTCACTTGCCCCTTTACATTGCTTTAGTTCATGAAATAAATCGTACTCTAATGATTTCTCTGATCGGTTCTTAGGAAAATTAGTCTGATTCAGCAGGCGGATCTATGGGAGGGGGGAGAGAGAGGGCTTTCTGGCTGAAGCCCTACTCCCCCACCCTCCAAAATGGTAAAAGATAACCATGTTTTATGAAAAAAAAAAAATGATATCTAAAAGTATTATTGTTCATCTTAATAGGACTTCAAGAATCACTTAAACACAATTTCATATAGGTAGTTAGTTTCTTTCTTTCTTCCGAAGTAATTATCCTAATCAAAAAAAAAAACTTTCGGGCTGAAGCCCCCTTCTCCCAAAATTAAATTCTGGATCGGTTAGTGTCTGATTCAAATGTTTTATTTTTAATTAACACATAAAATTGAGAAAAAAATTGTTTAAAATCAGTAGGATGATTCACTCGTCATTTCAGAATGGGGAAACCTTACTAAAATCAGATTCTATCGATGTTCACAAAGCAATAATATTTACAATGCATAAAATTATAATTGTGTATAAACTATTTTTTATTTGCGACTTTAAAGACCGTTGTGAAAAACTATCAAATGCAACAGAAAATAGAATAGAAACACTTTTTTTTTACAGCTAATAAAAAAAAATATTTATATTTACTTCTCCAAATTGGTTTCTGAATATATATGGTATTTAAATTTTGAGATATTTTAGTCTAAATGACCAAAACAGTCCTTATTATTTGTTTTTGTTTTTTACGCAATATGTTTCCCTTTCCGAATCCCTAACTAGACGTCACCTCAAAATACAATTTTGAATTACAGTTCATTACAAAGAGGATGAAATTCTGATAATTTCTCTAATTTACATTATACAGATCCGAATTTTTGTTTTTGAGATATTTTAATCCAAATCTGCAACAAAACTCGTTATTATTTGGTTTTCGGCACAATAATGTTTCTATTTTGCCTCTCTAACTTGGTGTCGTATTAAGATACGATTTTGAATAATAGCTCATTACAAAGGGGACGAAATGCTGAAAATTTTCCGAGCTTACATTATGCAGGTCCGATATTTAATTTCTGAGATATTTTAATTCAAATGCAAAAACACTTAATTAGACGACTTTACCCGAATGAGCGTTACATATCCGAACTTATTGGCTCAGTCTCATTTCTACCATAAAAAAAAAAAAAAAAAAAAAAAAAAAAAAAAAACCAAGTGCCCCTAAAGAAGTTACCACTTAAAAAATTCATAGAAAATTCTGAATTTAATGTTAAAGCATTTTACCATATTCAATTTTTCGTAGTAAAAATGACTCAATATCACTTAGACCCCTCGGTTTCTTAATTTTTCGATCGATTTTTTTTTTCAATAATAATTATAAGAAATAAATAGCTTAATTTTGGTTATAGAGCTTTTAATTACTTGATGTTATTTCATGGTGTTGAATGAGATTATAAAACATAATTATTTCTTTTATCCTCAGATGGATTCGTTTACATAATCATTATAAAATTAGAGGCTTGCTGAATTTGCATAATAATGCTGGGAATTAAGGACAATTATGTAATTAAGAATGAGATTCACCTCGCCTATATTGAAGCTAATGGATGTTTACAATATTCCTCAATGGGATGGAAACAAGGAGAGTTGGTGGCTAAGCACAATTGCTAATTAAAAGTTATTAGATTCTACATTCTAATTAATGGCTTCAGTTATTGTAACAGCTCCTGGTATAGCTATAGTTAGATGGGGCATAGCTTCTAGAATTGGTGGTTTCTGAAAGTGAAAACGAGAGCTCACAAAATATAACTAACGCAAAAATAGACGTGAAATACCCATTCCAAATAGAGATGCTTTAAGTTTTTATACCTTTGGTTGTCATTATAAAGTAAATACTTTTCACATAATAACCAAATATGATATCATTATAATATTAATATAATAGATCTTAGAAGGATTGATTGTAAACAAGTTGATTTTTCTTTGAATAATGAAGAGACATTAATTTATTTTAATCAAGTTTATGGATATATAAAGAAATTAATTAATTTTCTAATTATTTTCATGAATAGGAAATTAAATTTATTAATTGTTAGTTACTACAAGCTAATCCAATCTGCCACCTTCTGGACAGCGACCTTAATATTTATTAAATTTTTCCAAAATATTTTGCAGCGACTGAAACTTCATATTTTTTTATTTTAAATTAATGGAAAACTGTTACAAATTAATTTTTATATTAAAAAATTACTCAATTTTTTTAAACAGTTTAATAATAATTATTTTTTATTTATCAATGGTTTTCAATTTGTATATTTTACAGGTTTAACATAAGACTGGATATTTGATCGGAGATACCTGTAGATGAAATTAAACTTACTTGACTGAGTATATACAGGTATAAATTTTTCCCTTATTCAATCACTTTTTTTTTTCATTCTTTATGGTACTAATATATTGTTTACAAAAATTGATTTTGGTTCTATATTTTTTTTTAAACGATTGAAGAGAAGGATGGTTGGGATGACGATCAGTCAAATTGAAATGGTAAAAAAATAAATAATTTTATTAATTTTTAAATTCAACGACGTTTCGGCACGAAGTTCAGGCCTTCATCTGTACAAGAAGTAAAGTCAGACATAAAAGTAAAGTCACCCCAACCAGCCTTCTCTTCAATTATTCACTACAGTCAACCGTATACCCACAATTCTTTTTTAAACAAGTTAACTAATGTACTTCTATTATTTCAAGAAAAACATTGTTAAAATGTGGTCGTTTTCTATTGAACTAAAATAACTAATTTAAGTAAAATAAGAATTGGAGAACAGTTAATATAAATATTTGGACTTTGAGGTTTCACAGATACAAATTAAAACAAAACTGTTCGAAAAAAAAACAAATTGAAATGGTTAATTGCAAAGTTACCTCTGTTGTAAACCTAACTCAAAGTTAATTATTAGATCTAAAATATACTCGTCTATATAAATGAATTTTATGATTAAAACATTTTGTTTTATTTGTAGATATAATAAGAATACTTTTCGAATGAATACAAGACTTCTACAACTTGAGAATCTCGTCACTCCTGAAGAACATACCATAAGAGAAAATGGCCTGGGCCTTAGTGGTGAGAGTAGGATGGAGTTTCCCTACTGGCCTTCTAAGTCCCAGGCTGTAATCTTCAACTCTTCTGAAATCTTCAAGACTTCATTGAATCTACAACGGTCTTCCTGGGTCTGGGGTTTCCCGGGGCATATGCCGATATCGCAATGCCCTTGGAAATCCCAAACAAGGGTAGAACTGATCTTCAAAACTTGACCATGAATATATCAAGAAGTTAAGTCAAATTCAACAAACAATGTAAATATGTATGAAATAGAACTAGTTTTTATTTAGTTTAAATACATGTATGGATGCAGAAAACTTTATACAGAAGTTTTATATAAACAGGTTAGTCAGAATGGTGTAAAATTTTCAAAAATTATAATTAAGTCCAGAAATACAATCTAGAAAATTGAACTGTTGAAAGAAAAAGTGAACCAAGTTCAGCGATTCAATTTTTCTTTCTAATTTTTCATTTATTCATCAGCATCAAACATTGCATTTATTGACTTGCAAAATGGGGTGTAATTTCGAATCTCATTTACCAAGTTAAAATTTTAAACCTATTTGTTAAGTTTTTAAATTATTATTTATCTGAATATGTTATTTATTACCTATATATTAAATTAATGTATTGTTTTAGCTATTAGACATTAAATTAAATTTGTATGTTTGTAGTTTAAGTCTTATAGTTGTTTTGTATCTAAATTTGTTTATCTCACATTGATAAACAACAATTATATTGTATGTGTTCTTATTTATTATTTTATTTTCTCATTACTGTAATAATATTTTTAATCAATTAACTTTAATTTTATTATATCAACTTTGATTTAAAAAAAAAATAAAATTTAAAAAATGTATTCACATTTTTTTTTTTCAATCTTATATATGAGCCTTTTAGTTGACAGAATGATTACTTCCGATTTCAACATTTTTGAGTTAATTCATTTTAGTGATAATTCTAGTTAGAAAATTTATAATATCTGTACAAATAGTGAGTAAGTTGATTCCAGAGCAGGTGATTGCAGTCTTGAAACACAGAACTGTGAATAAAGTTATAAATTTTCTCACTAGAAATATCATTAAAATTAATAATAAAAAATGTTGAAATTGGAGTTAGTCATTCCATCAACTGAAAGCCTCATATATCGTTGGCACCATGTTAAAGTAATGATTGTGCAGATTAACATTTGTTACTTTAAGGTGGAACTGATGATATGTATTTCTGCCAATGTCTCAAAGGTCATAATTAATTATCTAAAGTCAAGAAAATTACTTAAATGAATCAAGTAATAAATACATAAAATGAGACCTGTCTGTAAATTTTATTCTGAAACACTTTTATTTACTTTCATTGCTGTCGATCAAGAATGCGACATTATGGTGCTATTGAGATAGTCAAATGCTTGATCAGATCTACAGAATGACAGAACAGAAAAAAACACTTGAATGTCTTGAAAACTTCTTGTTCTGTAATTACAACAGGCACATGAACTGATAAACATCAGTAAACTTTGGTACACCAAATAATCAGCAATTATTCAGCACACCTCAGGTTCATTTAGAAAAAATCTTAATTCTGTCATATTGTCACATAACACATAATACATCACATAACCAACTGTGGATTGTAATTGTGTCATTTTTTCAGTTTGTTGAAAATAATGTTTCACAATTTTTGGCCTCACAGTTTATCATTTGAGCACTAAACACAGCCTATAAACACGATTGCAATCTTGCACCCTTTGTAATTTCGACAGGATTGATTCCTCAGATTTTTTAAATTATTGTTATCCCAATCCTCTACTTTTTAAATACCTCTAGAACATATAAAACCACTTTTTTTTTTAAAATTGTAAATTATTTTCAATCAGGAGAAAAACTTGCACAAAACTTTATCTTAACATCTGTATTATGGTAAAGATACACAGATTTCAGAGAAAAATCCACATCACGATTTTTATTTAACAAAGCTGTAGAAAACAAAAAGCTTTTGAATCCAATAACCAGTTTTGAACATATAAGATTCTCTGAGATATACATACAATTGGCACTCACCTTATTTATTCTCACCAAACAGGTGCTTTCTAAACAATTTTCATGGTCCCAGAAACACTAACTGACTTTACAAGCAGAAAGAAAGTTCCATAAAAATTAAAAATATTCAGTTGTTAGCAGAGAATATTAAATGACCCTAAGAATGTGTAGTCTAGAGAGAACAAAACGGTTAATCATCATGACAATTCTATTTAGGAGTTGGGTTACCCGTGCGGACAGGATACCTACCTGCCTTCTCAGCCGGCGGTTGGGTCTCGGGGACGACCGGGATACCTGCCTTATGGCCTCGGCTGTCATTTGTAGTGGTAGGGGAAAGCACCACTTCCACTCAGTTCAGTCGTTCCTGTTTTTGACCATTTGGAAGCTATCAGTTGTAGATTTATTTTGAACCCAAGGTATGTATGATCATTTTATGGTATCTGGGTCATATTTTTGAAAGCTAATATCTTTAAGGGTGGCTCAAAATAGTATTTTAAACAAATGTAGAGGGGAAATCCATTTTTCCGAACATCTTTTTGGATTTCATGACCTGCCATCAAGAAGACACATTTGTTATGAGGTCTCACAGTCAAAGAGTTAAATAAGGAAAGGTAATCAAATTACACTAAAATATAAACTCCATTTTTAGAAAAATGGGAGGTTTTGTATTTTAACTGAATATAAATTGCACTGAATATATACACTATACAATAATGACAGCTTGAAGTTCGTGTACATTTAAACTCAGTTAACCCCAGCTTTGATCAATATCAAATTCACTTCCAGGAATATTTGCAGAATCTTCTAATTTCTTCACCTCCAAATCTAGAACACATTAAGGACAAGAAGGAGTTATTAACAAGATTAAATATAAATTTTAAAATTTAGATTTCATTAAAGATTATATATCAAATTTTAAATACTAACAAGTATTAAAAAAAATTGATAACCAGGTAATCAAATAATAATTTAGGTTCAAGTTATACATCATGATGAGAACAACTGACCTAATCTTATGGCTTATATTTCCCTCCAAAACCCTTCAATCAGAAAGTACTTTTTACAAGATCATCTTCAAATGTTTGATTGTACACCATGAAAAAAACAAAATCGATAATAGGTTATAGTTATTAAATTATTGATATTCAAAACTTTAACCAGGAAGAGAACTTGAATATGAAAATTCCATTCAATCATGAAAGAATTAAACATAAACAATCATTTAAAAAAAAAGTGTAAAAATTAGAAAAGTTAAAAGAAAATTAATAAATCTAATAACCAAAGAATATAATAGAAACAAGCACAGAAAAAAATACCTACTTGAAGCTAATAGAATCTTTATCTTACACTGGGAGAATACCAGAATAAACAAACCCCTCTTTTTATTTGTTAGCAACAACTTTAACTTTAATATTTGTTTCTCAACATTTATTTTTACTATCAATGTTTCAGCCTTTAGGCCGCTGTTGAGGAGACCTTATTACAATTAAAATTCACTATTACAAATGATTGTTTCAAATTTGTAATAGCAGACTACCCATCAGAGATGAAAGGGATCCAAATATTAAAATTTCTTATATTAAAAATTTTGAGTTTGTTCCTTGAATTTTTGCAGTGCAATAAGTTCTAGGCTAACTTAATCACAAGTATTTTCATGTGTGGTGTTTAATACATACCACAGCTGTTGGCCTCTTCAGGTATTGGACTAATCTTTCGAGTATTTCTGTTAGATCTGAAATAGAATAGAATAGAATAGAAAATAATTTTATTCTGGGACGAAGTCCCTTAAGAATATCAAAAAAGTACAAAATTAAAATATTATATCTGGCCAAATAAAACAAATATAAAAAATAAAAATAAAGAAAAATAAGTAAAGAAAATATTAATTATATATACTATATACAAAATAAAAAAAAAAAATCTATATACAAAACTCGTGAAACCATGCCAAGACACTTAAAATTATGTACAATGGGAAAATATAAATATACACTTTTAGAAAAAATAAAAAACACATTAATTCTTCTTAGCAGTAAACTCTGTTTTTCTCTTGAAAAAAAGGAAAAAAGAAAGTCGAATCTGATGGTAAGTATTTAAGTGATGAGCTATATGTAAATACATCATTAAGAATAACATGTAATTTTACATAAAAGGTTAGCAGGTATATGACTGTTTTTGGAACAGGAATTGGAATAAGAGGATTTTAAATGTAGATAGGGAGGAAGAATGCCGAATTTTGATAGGAAGGGAATTCCAGAAATTAACAGAGCGAGCAATAAAGGAGTTTTGGAATGAGGCAGTTCTGTGAGAATGAATGTAAAAGTCGGAAGGTCGAAATCTTGTAGAAAGGGAGTGGACTGAGGACTTGAATTGGAGAAGGTTGTAGGCATAAGAAGGAAGACGATTGTTGATGATTTAATAGAGGAAGTACCTAGGAAATATTGTCTTCAAATGGAGGGGAAGAGCCACTTTAACTCAGTGCAGTGATGAGAGACGTGGGAGTATCTCAGGGCACCAATTACAAATCTGACGCAACTGTTCATTAGTCTTTTCAGTCTGTCACGGAGCTCCACTGAAAGTCCATCATACACCACACAGCTGTAGTCAAAGTGGGGGAAGATGAGAGAGGAAACTAGGAGTCTACGCGCATGTTGAGGTGGAAGCGATGGAATAGTTTGAGGGTAGAAATTGTCTGTTGGGAGATGTGAGAAATATGGTGATTCCAGGAGAGGGTTTGATCAATGAAAAGTCCTAAATTTTTGACAGTGGAGTATAAGGAGATTGGCTGGTCACCAATGTTTAGTATGGGAAAGTCGAAATAGGATCTAAGGAGAGGCTTGAAACCAATGACAATGGCCTGAGTTTTAGCAACATTTAACCTTAATCTGTTTAAGTTGCCCAGGCACAGATTCGTTCTAGATCTGCTTGGATTTTAGTAAATGCTACCAATAGCTCAGGGGGAGAAAAGGATAGATATATTTGAGAATCATAAAGGTGGTCTGCATAAAGGTGGTGGGAACAATGGAAAATTGAGTCATGTAGGTCGTTAATATAGGAACTAAAAAGGAGAGGAGATACGCTAGATCCTTGGGCAATTCCAGAGGATAAAGGCAGGTAAGTAGATAGTGGTTGATTTGGAATGGAGACTACTTGGATGCGTTGTGAGAGAAAAGATT